ATTTTTTTTTTTAATTGCCACGTCACTAAGTTAACGGTCAATTTTGATGGTTGACTGCCACATCAGCCAAAGTTAACGGAGTTGGGCGGAGAGTGACCAACCATGCAATTAACCCTTAAAGTAAATAATAACTCATGCATATTCACTTCAAACATAGCTCAAACAAAATCACATATCATCAACCATAAGCACAATCAACCAAACGACAATCACTTCATCAAAATAAGGCGTAGAATTTACCCCCTTTACACTCACCTTGAAAAGATGACTCCTCGATTCCTTACTCGAAGAAATCCCTCCTAGCCGAATTATCTCGGTGAACCTATTAATAAGAAGGCCATCCCCTTAGTCGACCTTTCTCGATTTAGAATTCCCTTTTGAATCACTAGAACGTCCTCTCCTCGAAATATATCCCTCGAGACTCGCTCCAAAGGTCCCTTAACCCCCTCTAAAATTTTTCTATAAACGATCCCTTCAAAACCGACCATTTTTTCTAATTATTTTAGTCTTGGACGAATTTTCCACCTAACTTGAACCTTCTTAAAAATTTGGATAATAATTTTCTTACATCAATCATGAGTATCTATACCCTGGAAAAATATCAGATCCTTAAATACCGTATGAAATATTTTATTAAATTAAAACGAATATTCAAATAATTTCTAAAAATAGAAATACATCTTCAAAAATCCCCAAATTAAATTCTAGCCATCTCCTAGACCTCCCTCAATTTATAAAATTATTAAAACCAGGAACAAACACTCACAGAGACTCGACACAATTTAAAACATCTAAAATAAGTTTCTGCAATTTCCCAGCAGCTTTAGTGACCACCCAAAATTTGTCACTAAAAACCTGAACGTCTGTTGCTAAAAACTCAGAATTGCACCGTCATGAAAAATCCCCAAATTAATCGACCTAACTCAAAGGGATCAAGTTCCCTTACCTCTAGAACATGCCTAGGCCTAGGTTGGATGACCCGGGATGTTGATCTCCTCGTTGATCGAACCGTCACACGTCATCGCTAATAAAATACAAGCTTCGGATCAGACTATCGATGAATCGAGTTTAGAAATCGCGAAGGGGTTAGCGATCCTTACCTAGAAATACGAAAGGGATGGGCTGGAAAATCGGAATCGGGGACAGGTGAGACGAGAAGACGCGAAGGGGTTAGTGATCCTTACTCGCAAGAGGTACCAAGGGGGTGGGTACCATACCACCACCCCCATGGCCGTGGTGAGACGAGAAGAGGTAAAATGTGGCTAAGTATGGAAGAAGATGAGGGTGGCCAGAAGCACCCCCATGAGGTGGTCTGGGGACCACCAACATACCACCCCCATGGTATGATCAGGGGGTGGGGGATCACCAACGTCGGCTCCCATGAGGATGATATAGTGGCTGGGGTGATCCATATGACCCCCATGGGGCATGCCCCCAATGGTATGGTGAGGGGTCACCAACATACCCCCCCCCCCCCCCATGGTATGGCCAAGGCAAGGGGGTCATGTGAGCACGTGGTCTCTTTACTCTCCTATTGGTGAAGTATTTTTTTGCCATTTTTAATTCATGTGATTCAAATACCCACCCATATGTGGTACGTGGTATTCCTTCATGCCTTAGCCATTTTTGCTCTATGGATAAGCAAAACTACGAAGGAGATGCCAATAGCAGAGGTTGAGGTCTCAAGAGGAGGGGGTCAAGACTAAAGAGGATCCCACATCCAACATCAGGGTTACCGTCATAGCAGTTGAGAGGGTAACCGTCACTCCTCGTCAGCAGAGTAGTTTCTTGGGGCAGTTACTTCTGGTGGCTATAAATAGGAGGTGAAGATGATAGAGAAAGAGTTTGCCAAAATCACATCAGACAACCTATTGTCAAATTTTATCCTTTTAAATTTACCTTTTCCTCTGCAAATGTACCCATAGTTGTTGTTTCGGAGCTCTCACTGAACCTCCATAGGAGTAGAATTAATGTTATTTAGTTTGCCTCATAGTTCATCAAGAACACTGAACGCCCTTGTTTGAACTTTGTTCAAAGAGGTGTGAACCGTAATGTTCAATTGTTTGTTTGGACGTTAAAGGTGCAAAATTCAATTATGTTTATCTAGATTTTCTCACGGGGAAAAGAAATTGGCACACTTGGTGGGACACGTGTGTCCGATATGATGGCTTCGAGGCGGAGGAATCAAGAAGGTGACGCTCCGACTGATTTTATGGAGGAGCAGGTGGCCAACATTGAACATGGCCAAGTGTGAGAGGCGGTGGCCGGAAACAATGGTGGGGCAGATCCTACCAACGGCGACGCCTAGTGGAGATATTGGTGAAGCAGTGGGGGTCCTTCATCAAATGATGGAGGAGAACCGCAAGCTGGTGGCAGAGAACCATCAAGCTACAGAGGAGAACCACCAAATGGTGGTGGAGAACCATCGCATGATGGAGGAAGCTAGAGCTGCTTCTCATCAGGTAAATTCTCAAATGGACTGTCTAATTCTAGAGTTGATAGACGTCTAAGTCAATTATTTGAAGTTGTTAATAAAAACAAAAGTGATTTTGATGAGTTTAGAAGGTTTTTAACGACATCAATAATCCAATCTAGGGATCTTCCATTAGATGGCGGGAATTCAAATCCCAATAGCAATTCTGGAAATTTTAGTTCATCTCCACTCGCGCGGAGGAAATGGTCAGCCACGGCAAGATAACCTCTTTCCGCCAATGACAAACCAACCAACTCCTCACCGCATGAATCCCGGCGAAATTCCTGCCACTACTCAAGTGGAAGGGATACCCAATGTGGGAGTTGGAGAGATTCCCCCATGTGGTGAGAATTTGGGAGTTACACATTCTGCTCCAGTGGAACCGCCACCCATACCCATACTAGTGGCAAGGCCTTATACGGTGCCTGCTCACATGGGAGGGGGAGTAGGCTTAGGTGGGGGAGATCAAGTAGAATGTGGGGATGTAGGGTGCCTGAGTTTGCCACATTCACTGGGACAGGGGACCAGTCTACTGTGGAGTATATTGGACGTTTTACTGTCCATTGTGGGGATGTAGGAGATTTTATTAAGAGTATTTGGAAACTCATTGACAGGACCTGCTTTTGCTTGGTATGTCAACTTGTCATCCAACTCCATCCAAACATGGCAGCAGATGGAGCAAATCTTCCATGGTCAGTTCTATAGATCTGAGCATGAGGTTTCCATGGCTGATTTGGCGCGCATGCGCCAAGAGCCAGGGGAGTCAGTGGAGCATTTCTTGACAAACTTCAAGAATGCTCGTAACCGTTGTTTTGTCAACTTGACAGCAAGAGAGTTTGTCAAGTTAGCACAAGGGCGGTTGAGTTTTGAGTTAAGGAAGAAATTCCAAGATAGAGAATTCTCTGACTTATTCCAACTCATGTCTTGTCCGGTGAGAAATGAATCTCTTCTTCAAGAAGAGGAGAATAGGAGGAGTGCCTCAAGGGGGCAATACTTCCCCAACATAGGCTACCCTGTTAACCATATTGGCCGAGAGGCCAATGAGGTGGAGGTAGACCTGGCTGAGTTAACTTCCGAAAAGCCATATGTATGTGCTCATTTGGCTAAGATGGACAATGAACCACAAGGGGGTAGACCAAATCGTGCCCCCATCCATCCATGGAAGTATTCCTTCGATATCTCCAAAGCTGACTTGATTATTGACCAACTCTACAAGGATGGTCAAATCAAGTTGATAGGGGGGCATAACATCCCACCCCCTGAGAAGTTAAAAGGAATGAAATATTGTAAGTGGCATAATAACATGTCACACTCTACTGACTCATGTGTGGTTTTTCGCAATGTATTACAGTATGCCATCAAGAAATTTAGTATCAAGTTCCATGAACCAAAGAAGGATGCCATGCTGGTGGATACCAACCCTTTTCCCAACGTGCTTGGTGTTAACATGGTGAATCCAGACTTCTCCCAGATTGAGCTTCCGCATTTCAAACTGGTTTTAGATACAACACCGCAACAAGGGACCCCGAATGTGGTGGTTGAGAAAGGGAAGTCATCGAGAGGTAGGCAGGCCAACTCGGTCGCGTCTAAGGTGTCCAGTGAGGTGGAGAAGCTATGTGCCCAATGCAAAAGGAGTCTTAAACTTGATGAAGTGAGACCAAGTCGACCAGTCCAACAAAGACTAGAATTAATGTAATTTAGCTTGCTTCGTAGTTCATCAAGAACATTGAACACCCTTGTTTGAACTTTGTTCAAAGAGGTGTGAACCGTGTTGTTTAATCGTTTGTTTGGAAGTCAAAGGTGCAAAATTCAATTCTGTTCATCTAGATTTTCTCGTCAGGAAAACACATGTACTACAAAGGCAAAATGTTTGGCTTCGTCCATCTCTACAATGGGCAAGAGGCTGTCTCCACTGGGTTCATCAAGCTATAGACAAAAGAAAATTCAGTGGTCATCACTTACAGAGATCCTGTCCGTGCGTTGAGCAAAGGTGTCCATGCTCGTGCTGTGATGAGCGAGCTCTTTTAGAAAATTACTACTATTGTCTCACTTGAGGATAGAAGCATGGCCAAAGTCACTTTAGAAGTAGATGTTTATTTCGAATGGGCAATCTCAAAAGTGAATATTGTGGGGATCACTTTTAGTAAAGGTGGCACTTATCTTTAGTAATTTGTGGGTTTAGGATGAGCTAAATTTATAAGAATTAGTTTTAGTTTTAAAAAGTGTGTTTGTTTTGGCTTTAAGAAACTCTTTTTCTAGTATTTTCTTATAACTGAAACAAACGTACCCTAGATTTTCTTCCTTTTCTTTATGATATCAAATGTGGCATCTCAGGAATTCCATTTGACTTTATTGGTGGATCAGGAGGATAGGATTTGATTGAAGAAAAGAACCTCAGTTTGTGATAGTTAGGCATTCTGTCATCTTCCCAAATTTTGAAAGATGCTAAGCCATGAATCCTCTTTTGGTTATGTTTTTGGCAGCTGAGAAAGCTCACTATGCAGCTAGAGATCCCATCTCAGCATTGATGACATACATGTTTGAGAACAAACTAGTGAACGAATCTGAATTGAAGGCAATCGACAAGAAGATAGATGAGTTGGTGGAGAGAGCTGTGGAGTTTGCAGACGAGAGCCCTGTTCCAAATCGCATCCAGCTGCGGGAGAATGTGTTTGTTGATCCAAAGGGCTTTGGAATCGGGCCTAATGGAAGCTACAGATGCGAGGATCCCACCCAAGGAACAACTCAGGTCTAAAATGGGAGACTGCCACATCCGTCCACTAAGCACCTCTTACTTCAGGGCTCCATGTTGAATGTACTATCTCCCCCCCCCCCCCATTTAAAAATTTTAACTTAGTATTAGTGTAGCACCTCAATTTTTAATTTTTTGGTTTAGGTTAGATCGGTAATAAATGAATGGGTCGGATCCATGATTGGGTATTAAGATTTGGAATTAATTCCTATTGATTAATCTTAATTAAGTTAAATTACCTACAGTTAATGTAACGAATGTCCTTAAATGTAATTAGAAGTCTGGATGTATTAGGAAGAAGAGTGAGGAGTCGTTTGGTTATTGGTTAACTAATGCTCCTGGTTAACTAATGCTCTAGCTACATTCCAAGCTCAAATGAACCAGATATTTGCCCCTTAACTCAGACAATTCATATTGGGTTTCTTAGATAATGTACTCATCTACAACATTGATTAGGAGACTCACAAACACTACCTAGCAACTACATTAACTATCCTAAGGGAAAACACTCTCTTTGCTAAGCCATCTAAGTGCTCTTTTGATCAGACTCAGATTGATTCTTCGTAACGGTCAGACTCAGATTGATTATTTGGGTTACATCATTAACCAGGAGGAAGCGACCACTGATCCAGGTATGATAGAAGCAATGGTAGCATGACCTGTACCTAAAAGTGTGAAGGAATTGAGGGATTTTATGGGGTTAACAGGGTATTACAGGGAGTTTGTGAGAAACTATGGGATTGTTGGTAAGTCCTTGACAGAATTACTGAAGAAGGACAGTTTCAAGTGGTTTGACAAGGCTTAGGAGGCTTTTGAAGCTCTCAAGTCTGCAATGGCCAGAGCTCCTATGTTGGCACTTCCACACTTTACCAAATCATTTACCTTGGAGACTGATGCCAGTGAGATTGGAGTAGGTGTTGTTCTGTCCCAGGATGGCAGACCTTTAGCATATCACAGTCAGGTGTTGGGGCATAGGAAGCAAGGTCTTTCCACTTATGAAAAGGAATATCTAGCAGTCATACTAGCTATGACCAAGTGGCGCCATTACTTATAAAGGAGCAAGTTTAACATTGTTATAGATCATGAAAGTCTCAAACATTTGTTGGGACAAAAGAATCATACCGGATACAAAAGAAAGGGTTGGTTAACCTATTAGGATTGGATTTTGAAATCCAGTATCGACAAGGCAAGTTCAATCAAGTTGCTAATGCCCTGTCCAGACATCCCAATTTTGCTACTGCTATGGTTAATCAGGGAGAATGCAGACCTATCCCTGCTCTGTTACCCAAAGCAGTCAAAATCAGAATTTTATGTAAAATTGAAAATGGGGGTAAAATTGGAATCCTAGGATTTTAAGGTCCATATAAAAATGAAGACGGGATAATATTAGTAAGGAAAATCATGCATAATGTAACATCCCGTTCCGACAAATCCCATATTTCGATCGCTAGAAAGTTCGCGATTTAAAATCGAGTATTTCGACATTATTTTGACGAAAATCGGATTATCAATCGATCGGATAAGTATACGTATTAATTATATATTATATAATATATATATATATATATATATATATTAATTAGCAGCTTTATGTCGCAAAAAGAATATATATATATATATATATATATTAATTAGCAGCTTTATGTCGCAAAAAGAAATGGACAGAAAGTTAAAAGCGGAAGGAACCGCTTCACATATATATGTACGAGAAACTTTTCCCCCATTCCATTATCACTTTCCTTTCTCATTTCCAAACCTGTAGCAGAGAAACCAAGCGCGCACAGGGCACTCGGAGAGAGATAGCAGAGCTTGATTTTTGAGCCCTAGTGATCCAAAAATCCCGTAAGTAATGCCTAATTCATCTATTCATCGTGATTTATCGATTTAGAGCTTTAAAACGAGTTTTTGGTTCAGGAATTTCTTGAATTCCCGATAAGCCAAATTAGGGTTTCTGAGTATCCGGAAGCCGGATTGAGCCCAAATTTCATATACGAGCTTCCTGCAGCGAGGTAATCAATCCTCTAGTTCTAATCCCTGAATTTCGGCAATTATTTAGGTCGGGGTCCTAATCGCTGAATTTAGCTCCGCCCAGGGTTTGATGTGTTTTTATCAAGAATTTGACCCGGAGCCTAGAACTAATATTGACGGGGATACTGCAGGGGACATTAGGGCGGTCTCGGATTTTAATTCGGGGTTCGTTCGTGAAATTGACGTTTTAGTACGGGAGGCTAGAACCGGTGTTTGAACGACCAGAACTGGTGAGGGATTAGCACGGCATACCGGGTTTGTCGTATCACGATAATTATATTGATGCTTAGAATTGATCTAGGTGAACTAGAATGGCATGATTAGGGGTGTATGGACTTTTGTGCTATATGTTGAACCCTGGATTGCTGTATGATATTATTGACTTGCCCTAATCGATATGAACCTTGTTTATGCTGATGATTGTGTATATGTTGCAAATTGTGGGCTTGACTGTTGATATGCCTTATGATGGTTCGAAAAGGTGATTGGGTATGATTTTTCATGATTGTTGTATTTGGATGCACATGTGGGAAAATATATATTCTCTTGTGATATTATGATGTTTAAGGAGGATGACTTGCATGAGGGTTTATCCCGAGGAAGTGCAATTATAAGACTCCTGATTTACCTATGTTGAGCCAATTGTGGCCGGGTCAAGTACATGTGCAAGTAATGAATTATGATTAAGCAAGATGAGATATGAATCATGTATAAGATTACCAAATAAGAGTGATTTGGTCTCATGGTCAATTACATAGTAATTAGGGCTCCCCATGCTATTACTCCGTTATGATATGTTATGTCACACCCCTGATGTGGTGTTGACCGTTGATTCAGCATGAGATATGACCACACCCAGAGTGGTGTTGAGTCCGATATGACCACACCCAGAGTGGTGTTGAGTCCGATATGACCACACCCATAGTGGTGTCAGGTCCGATATGACTACACCGGCAGTGGTGGGTCCGATATGACCACATCCACGGGATGTTTGGTCCGTATTCCCGGGAGAGTTATTAGCATGGGAGTAGCCAGGCGCCTATAAGTAAAACATGACAAGAAGCATATGCATAAGTCAAGGTGGTTGAGTCTTTTGCCTATTGGGATGTCGGATGGCTGAGGTCTGATCCTAGTTCTTTGGCTTGTTTGCTAGATGTATGGTAGGGGTATGCTCTGTTATGAACTCACGATTCTATGATTATCTCACTCAGCTATGAGCTGACCCTCTTTTATTCTTTTTCTCTGCTTATGCCATGTGTAAGCAGATCATCATCATCAGCAGCAGTAGATAGGTGTATAGGTGGGAGCTGGGCAAGAGTTGAAGGCAAGATGAGGTATGGTCTTCAACTATTCTGTGCTTGGACTACTACTCGGGATTTTGGCCAGTGATCCACACCTTTTTGTAAAATGTTTTGAGAACGTTTTTCATGTGCATACTAGCTTCTGATGTAGTGTGAGATATCCACAGGTGTGGAAAGTTGATGATATGTGTATATTTGTGTAATTATGTAAGTTGTGACGATTATGGCATGTATCAGTATAGTATGCAGTTGTGTAACATGAAATGGTGACTATGGCTATGAAAAGCCAATGCATATGGAAGTGAGTGTATATGCTTGTCTATGAATGCACGGATTTTAGATGAATTATTTTGCAGGATTAGATGGAAAAACTGTTAGCCCATTACGCGAGTAATTCATGTCAAAATTTTATTTGGGTAATTTTGATAATTAATGTAACACCCGAGATTAATTCCGCTGCAATTGTATGAACAATATGATTAGGTAATACGTATAGGGTAGGGTGTTACAGTTTGGTATCAGAGCTGGTTTGTTTTCTGCATTATGGGTATGTTACTTTCGCTCTTGAGTACTGATCACCCTCAAAAGGGAAGGGAGTACTCCATACCTGTACTTGCACTAAACTTTCCAGGATTGGGACCAAAGGTGATGATGTGTTGCATAGTCAGTTGCATATGGTCAAACATGATTTTGAGTATTTGAAGGAATTTTGAAAATTTATGGTTTAAGAGATTTCTGAAAATATGTGGAGTTTTTTTATCTTGTTGTTAAAGTAATGATTTTGGCAGAAATTTTTAATGGTGTGTGGATCAAGTTATGGCCAATATTTCCTTGTAGCTCGCACAGAAGTTGTTCTAGAAATCCTACTAACCAATCGAGAAGCATGGTGGCTAGCTATGTAATGCAGTTGGGTTTAGGCTGTGCTAACATGATAAGTTGTGATGGTAGATATTTGAATAGAGATATGAATCTTGATGATGTTCTGGTAACCATTTTGTAGATTGATATAACCTTGTGTTAGTGGCAACCTACTTTGCAGGTTAATAACTTGGTTTAGTGAATTATGCTTTCGAACTTGTTGATGTGTTTTGTTGTGATAGCCCAGTATAGGTTCTTGAAACCTAAACATGGGAACTTGAGGTGTTATGTGTTTACTTATGTACTTCAGAGCTCCTAACCTAAGAGTTTGGTAGTAACAAGATATGTGGTATTATATGTTAGGAGGGGAACAGACATATGCATAGTATTAACTCGAGGTTAGATTTCGGGGACGAAATCTTTTAAGGAGGGGAGAATTGTAACATCCCGTTCCGACAAATCCCATATTTCGATCGCTAGAAAGTTCGCGATTTAAAATCGAGTATTTCGACATTATTTTGACGAAAATCGGATTATCAATCGATCGGATAAGTATACGTATTAATTATATATTATATAATATATATATATATATATATTAATTAGCAGCTTTATGTCGCAAAAAGAAATGGACAGAAAGTTAAAAGCGGAAGGAACCGCTTCACATATATATGTACGAGAAACTTTTCCCCCATTCCATTATCACTTTCCTTTCTCATTTCCAAACCTGTAGCAGAGAAACCAAGCGCGCACAGGGCACTCGGAGAGAGATAGCAGAGCTTGATTTTTGAGCCCTAGTGATCCAAAAATCCTGTA